GTGCTATGTATAGCACAGAATTTATACATATAGAATCAATTTACTGCTCCAAAAACTGATGGCCATCAAGTCAATTCTGACTCACAGCTTTGTCCTTTCTCAGGACAAAGCAGAACTGACCATTGCCAAGGTTGTGAACCTTTATTGAAACACAGTGCTTTGTCTTTTTAATATCAGAGCAGCTGGTGGGCTCAAAACAATGACCTCTTGTTTCGTATCCCAGTGCTTAAACTATACTAACACACCTTACTTTTACTAAACCAATAGTGAATTCAGTGAAATCTGAAAGATTAAATAAACTTACATAATTTTAATGTTATTAATACTAATGCTGGCAAAACCCTTAAACTGAAGTACTAAACTGATAACATTTCACAGTATAATAAATTTTAGAAGCTATTTCTGTACTAAGGAAGTTGTTATTGGCAGACATTAACATCTTTTAGTTTCCTAGAAATTTTGTAATTCTTATGGTTATGTGCTGCCAAGTCAGAACTGACTTATATAGCTGACCCCCCAGAGAGTTTTTAGAGGCTGTAAATCATATGAGAGGAGACTGCCAAATTTTCTTCTATGAAGCAGTTGGTGGATTCAAACAGTGTGCCTTTGGGTTGGCAGCCCAGTTCCTTACCCACTAGACCACTAGAGTTTTCTATTTTTAAATATGATAAAATAAGTATTTCCAAAATGTCTTAAAATTTGTGTAAATTATTATCTTAACCTGTTCTTTGTAATGTTTTTTGTAAATTTTTTTTTGCTAAGTTATGTGATTTAAAAAATTCAATAATTGTGAATCTAACAGACTTTTCATTTTAAGAATGCATGATTTAATGACTCACTTCACACTCTTGGTATGCCAAACTATAATTAAGGAAATAAAGTGATGACATTAAGAATTATGTGTCATAGTCATTCAATCACATAAAAACAGCTGGACAGCTTTTTCACTAAGTCACATTTCCTTATATAGAAAATGTTCCATCTACAAAATGATAGAATGCCCCAAATGAAAACCCAGGGGATATATAAATAGTCATTCTCCATAGCTTGATGGAATTGTGAAGTAATCCTACTACTACGCTCAGCAATTAGTAGCTTCAGTATCAGAGTTCTGGGAATAGTTTTAGGCCCTAGAATTTAACTGGGGGTTTTGAGAACTTGGAGCAATTCCAAAGAGAAGTGATAAATAAAAATGAAACATGGGTAGAGAACAGGCCCTTATGAGGAAAGGAATGATAATATTGTGGAGGGGGGAGCCCTTATGTGATGCCAAGAGGAAGTTCAGCCTTTATAAGACAAAGAGTAGAATCTGAAATTTTTGCTATTGTAAATATCTGGAGGTCCACATAGAAAAGAAAGATAAAGTACACATCAAGCCACCTAACTATAAATAAAGCTTTCCTTATATTCAGAAATATTTCCAAAGGAATTTTTTTTTCTTCCCCAAAGGAACTTTTAAGAAAGAAAACGTGTAAGACTAACAAAAATACTATCTATGTTGCAAATGTATAATTAGAGGTTGCTTACATTTATAAACTAGAATAACTTCTTATAGCTCTTTGTTTCCATGTAAATTGTACAACTTAATAATCTTTGCTTCCAGAAAACAACCAATTTGGTCATGAGGTCTGGAGGAGGGGAAGAAAAAACTTCCTTTTGTGTCTATAACAAAGTTAAGAGAACCATACATGTTATATCACTGTGTCTAGTTACTCTATGTTGTTTTTTGCACTGAGTCAGCATCAACCCATAGCTGACCCTCCAGCAGTTTTCAGAGACAATAAATCTCATGGGAAGAGACTGTCTCCTGTGTGGAACAGCTTATAGATTTGAACTGAGTGTCTTTGGGATTGTAGCGCAGCTTCTTACCACTAGGCCACCAGAATTCCCTACGTAAGTTCATAAAAATCTCATTAAATATTATATTAGTTGACTATGGTTTCAAGCATAGTCTAATTTATCCTCCTCATCCCTGCCCCAACCCTAGTTTTATGAACTGTTACAACTGCAAAAGCTACAGGTTCATAGGAATCACCTGAATCGGAAAGGCTAAAGACTTGATGCACATGTGACCACTCCTTCCTCACCGTTTTTTGCCTAATGGATTCTAGCACTCAACTCTGCTGAACTCCATCTGACCTAAGAATTCTTCTCAGCACAATAGTATAGGCAGCAGCCACTGCCTTTCAATCATATAGCCCAAGAGATAAGGCTCTCTGCTATTACTGAATTCAGTAATAAATCAAGAAATTCACTTCCGTAGCACAATTGAAACTGATTCTCCCCACGGTCAGGTAAAATAAGGGTATGTCAGCCCATCAGACTCACTATTATAAAATTCAACCTTCATTAACTCTTGTGAAATATTCAACTACTAAGTTACTTAAAATAAGTTTCTGTAGAAGCAATTAGTAGAATTTAATACTATGAAAATAATTTGGTCCACAGTATGTATATTTTTGGCTCTTTTTGTCTCAAAACGTCACCATTTTTATCAGGTAATGGCCAAAACAGGAATTTCAAAATACTAGAAGTATGATTCTCTGGGGTTAGCTTTTAATACATTTAAAAACAATTATTCTCTCATAACCAAGAAATACCCAAAAATACCAGAAGCCGGGAAAGAGTTCTCTAAAATGATAATTCTAGAACCCCAAATCTTGTAAAGCAGCCAAATACTTATCAAAGGAATACTTGAGTTTAATACAAAGCCCCCTACATGTCTGTCCCCTAGGCTGTGCCACTACTAACTACACTATAAGGTTTATCTGGAGCCCCGCTCCCCCTCCGCCCCCTCCCGCCCCAAGGTATAACCCTGAAAGTGTAGCTTTAGAATTCTCACGTTAAAGGAGACCCAAGGTACAGAGTGTACCCAACAGGTACTGACTACTAAACTTGTCAGGTCTCATTCCGAAGGAATTTCACCTGGAATATTCCAGAACAATAAAAGCAAGCTCAAGCACAGAAAGCGTCTCCACTTTCCATATAAAATAGTATCTACTTTTTCCCATGCTGACTCTGCGAGGCAAACTTATTTACAAATATATAAATAGCTGCAACTTTACTCCAGTCTCATTGAAAAATCAAAATGGCATCATGCAAGTGAAGCATTCTAGCATACTTGGCTCAATGAGTGAAATGTAAGTGGAGAGGAGCCAAGCTACTTGACACTCACTAGTCAGCTTAACCAGATACCCTCCAGTTTCCTGTAGTGGAGGGACCCGAGCTCTCTGAACGGAGAATTCACTTAACATTAATTGCCCAGCAATTGTGCTGTGATTTAGAGCTAAACTCCAGAAAATAAATTTAGATTCACATTTCAAATCTGTCATCTCACAAATTGAAAGGGGAAATAGCATTGTCGATTGTGGCAGCAAGTTTTCCAATACAATTATTTAAAATAAGAGGATTTCTTATATGCATGATGAAATTAAAAAGATCCTATGGAGCATTTTTTTGCCACCTAGCAAGAATTATTGGGTTTAAATTAGCAGGGAAAAGGTGAGGGAAGAATTGGGTTAAAAGGAAGAGAATGTATTGCCTTCCTTCTATTCATTAAGTAATCTATTACTAGTTTAGAAATTGACGAGACAGCAACCAACAATTGCTAGTAGTATTTTTAAACCATCTAAAACTTAAAATATAATCATTATAGCAATTCTGTTTAAAATAAATATTGTGCCTCTTGGTTTTTCTTGCCAGCATGTGACTTTAGAGCATGGAATTGCCATAATCTGAAGGTTTTATGCTTGCATATGAAGCTACTTAAACAAGTCCCACAATAACACAGATCTGTATAGTTACATCTGCTGAAGTTCCTGCCTGACATTCACCCATTAAAATCCCTTCATATCAAATTACTCTCTTCCTTAATACTCTTGTCTCATACCAATTAATGAGTAGTTTATATTTAAGGAACCGTGTAATTAAACTAAAATTACCTAAAGTAAAAAAAAAAAAAAAATTACCCAAAGTATGTCCAAATCCAAATTTGCAGTTTACAAAAACTTTTCTCAGGAAAAAAGTGAGTTATGAACCTAGTTTATACAGAGCATCTAAAACTATGCAATGAGATGATTACTCTTATTTCCTTTAGAGAATTCAGAATATTGATATTATCAGTCTTGTCCATTAATTTAAATATTATGCTACACATTAGGAAATAAAAATATTCATACAAGTTTTCATGCAAAAAAATAATCTCTGTTATTTATTAGGCCAAATGCAATTTGGATGTTCTCTTTTTATCATAATGTAATACACTAAAACATACCTCTTGGATTCAAAGACTAACCAAGATAATATACTTCCTACTTTCCTGGTGGTTCAAACTCCCTAAATTATTATTTAACCAAACTTGTATTACCATTAACTAAGTGCATAATCATAATTGCTGACCAATTGTTAATATTTAAATGGCATGTGTTTATTATTTTAAAAATCCACATGTACCAGCCAAAAAACAAAGGAAAACATATATAAATCCACTTTGAGATGAAGTGCATATAAAGAATAAGTCTAAATTTTGTAAAATAGATTCTTATTTTACACTGCACATAATATACTTAGTTAATTCATAAACTCTAAATTGGGGTGGTTATTTTCATTTTCACTAATCATTAAAATAATGAAAACAGAAATACAATGCATAATGAATATCTCAGTCTATATTCTGAACATAATATGTTTTAATTTTTGCATTGTAAAATCTAAAGTCGGTTACATCTCTTTTTGGCATTAATCACATTTCTTTAGAAAATTATTACCCTACTGTCTAAATATCATGTCTCTACTTTTATATGTAAGTGATATTTGCATCATAGAACAAAGAATAGATTGCCAAGAATATGATAAGCAATAATATATGAGAGTAAATTTACCATAGCATTAAAGCAACTATGACACTATTAATACTTTTTTAAAATTTAAAACAAGTTCTTTGAATCTCTTTGGGGAAATAATGCATGCAATATTATTACAACACTTTCTGTTTTACTTACACAATATCTCTAATTAGAAGTGCACTCCCCAGTTTGAAACAACTTTTATCACCTTCACAAAATGTACGCCTCAGAGAAAAACTCTCTCCAAGATCAAAACCTGTAAGGCATAACAAATTATTTAGTCCAGCAAGTTTTATTAAATTTAATAAATGTTCAACTACATTGATTTTGAAACAGAATTTTCTGTTGCCTTTAATTATAGATTTATTTATTTCAAGTAAAACTCTGTTGTTTGAGATCAGCAAAATCGCCTGATCTCATTTTTCTCATTTAAAGTCACAGAAAAATTAAACCTAAATTGCATATGGAATGTGTAGCAATCTTTCTCTAGGGGGAAATTTTAAAATGTGTTTCAAAATAAGTAAATATTTTCTTTTCTTTGATCTAGGAATCCTCTTCAAAGATAATTAGGGAAACACAAAGCAACAGCTCTGATATCTAAAGATAGAAAATTAGAAAAGTAGAGCCATTTGGCTGAAACCTAAGTATTTTTTTAAAAAAATCATGCTTCAGAAGGATATATGATGATATAGAAAAATCACTGGACTTCAAAAATAATATATGCATGATGAGTTTGTGTGTACGTGTGTGTTAACTGGAAAGCAAGGGTAAGTGGAAAAAAGCATGTCATAAGGAAGAGGAGAAAGAGAGACAACAGAAGAAATAATGGAATATTACACTGAAATAATTCTGACTATATGTTGGTGATGTGATCCTTTCACAAAATTTTTTATTTCTTGTCAAAATCTCTACAAGAAATATATGTTTATAATTTTAAATAACTTTTCTTTTTGCTAAGAGACCAAAATGACATTGGTCTTAAGCGCAATAGAACTCCACTTTCCTGTGTTTTCTACATACCCCTCCTTACTTTGATGTTATAGTCTAAATGTCTATGCCAAAGAATCATGTAAAATTTATTACATAACTGGTGATAATTTTATACAAAATACTCCTTTGGGAAAGATGACATGCTTACCTGAAACTTCTAAGTTGTCTCTGTTGCCTTGCATAAACTGGTATCCATGTGTTCTCAGTATAGGACATAGTTCTTCTAAATATACAAAAATACATATTTTCTATCAGTTTTGTAATACATTTTAGTCACATAATATAATTAAAAAGTAATATAAAATATAAACAAATCAAACTACTTGTTAAATGCTGGTAATATAATAAGTGCACTATTTACTTGATAGTGTTTTTGAACATTAGGTTTGCCAGCTAAGGCATGTAGTGATATTCAAAGAAATAAAAGGTGAAGTTAGCTCTACTAATACTAACCTTTCCTTTTTAGTGGAGAAACAGTAAAAAAAAGGCCTTCAATGAGATGGAATGGCACAGTAGCTTCAACAATGAGTTTAATAAACACAGCAGGGATAAGGGATTCTAAGGTTGGCACAGGATCAGGCAGGGTTTTGTTTTGTTGTATATGTAAGTCAGAGTCTCAATGTCATCTAACAACAATAACATACTAGTACACATTTTATTCATACATATTGTTGCTATTGTAGTTATTTGCCATTAAGTTAACTGTAGCTCATTATGACCCTATCAACAATGGATCTGAAACATGCCCTGTCCTGTGACATCCTCAAAATCTGTGACACATTTGAGACCACTGTTATAGTCACTGTGTCAATCCATCTTGTTGAGAGGGTCTTCTTCTCTTAGGCTAACCTTTCCACCACATTTTCAAGCGTGATACTCTTTTCCAACAACTATACCCTTCTTATAAGACGTCCAAAGCTTGTAAGACAAAGCTTCATCTTCCTTGCCTCCAAGGAATACTCTGGTTGCACTTTCTCCAAAACATATTTGTTTGTTCTTTTGGCACTCTGTGGAATATTCAGTACTCTTTTTCAGCACCACTAAAAACATAAACTAAAAAACCATAAATTCTTCTACTGTTATTCTTGGTGATTTAATGAGATCTTTTCAAGTAATTGAAAAGATCAAAGCTTGGATAAGGTGCACCTTAGTCTTTAAACTAACATCATTATCCCTCACCACTTTGGAGAGGTTCTTGACAGCAGATTTTCCCAATGCAACATATCTTTTCATTTTATTGACTGCTGGTGCCAAGAAGTGTTGACTGTGGCTCCAAGTAAAATGAGATAATTGAAAATTCCACTTTCCTCCATTTAGCATGATGTTACCTCCTGGTCTAGTGGTAATAACTTTTGTTTTCCTGATGTTGATATGTAATCCATACTGAAGGTGATAGGCTTTGATTTTCTGCAGCATTTTAAATCTTCTGTTTTTCAGCAAGGTTGTTCTGGGAACCTAGTGGCAAGGAGTTACTCTGCCAGCCCAAAGGCACACAGTTCAAATCCGCAAGCTGATCAGCAGGAGAAAGACGAGCAATCTCCTCCAATGTGATTTACTGCCTCTGAAAACTCGCCAGAGGGCCAGCTATGAGTTTGTTCCAGTCTGAAAGAACATAAGAACCGCAATAACACTTTTAGCAAGCAAAGTTGTGTCATGTTATCTACATGACACAGATTGTTGATGTTGTTGTTGTTTGATGCCGTCGAGTCGTAGACGACTCATAGCAACCCTATGAACAAACGGCCTGAGCATGATTGTTGATGAGTCTTCCTCAAATATTGATGCCTTCCTGATATATTCTTCATCATAATGTCTAGATTTTTGTGATTTTTTTCCTCCTGTTATACAAATTGAATAGGGAGAATTGGTATCCTAATGGCAAGAAGCTGTGCTGTAATCCTAAAAGTATGCAGTTTGAATCCACTAGTTTCTCCACAGGGAAAGAATGGCCAGTCTCTTTCCATTCAATTAACTGCTTCTGAAAACCCACCAGAGGGTCAGCTGTGGGTTGATTGTGACTTGACATACCAGAACAACAACAACAATAAAAACAACATGCAGATTGCATGGGTTTAGAAAAGGATATGGTTCTGACACACACCTTTCTTGATTTTAAACCATTTACTGTTCTTTGCTTTGATCAGACAACAGTCTCTTGGTCTGGGTCTTAGGTTTTGCATAAGCACAAGTATACATGTATACATTAATATCATTATTTGCGTGTGGGTTTCATTCAAACTAGTTTAGGAAAGTGATAGTTAAGAGAAAGCTGTTCAATTTGAATAATATGCTACTGTAATTAGGAGACAGAACCAATCTTAAACTCAATTCATTAAGTATTTTGGTGTCATGCAATCAATGTCTTAATACTCCATACTAGAACTCATGTTTAGAATGTCATAATTTTTAAAAAATACACTGACAAATTATAAATTGCTTTCTACTAACCAAATTAATCTAATATATGTTATTATTGTTCTTGTGTACTGTCAAGTTGGAACCGACCCATAGCTGGGTTTTCAAATGCAGTTATTCACAAGGGAGGAGATTGCTCATCCTTCTCCCACAGAGCAGCTGGTGGCCTCGAACCGCCTGCCTTCAGGATTGCAGTGCAGCTTCTTCCACTAGGCCACCAGAATTCAATCTAATATATAAAAGGTAAAAATTGACAATTACTTCAGTTTCACTTATGAGCACTGTAGCCTTTCATTTAACATTTATATCACAGACCTCATGGGTATTCACAACATATGTAACTAGCAGAATAAATAAAATTCTAAATATAGTTAAGAGTTAATCAGATTTAAGAGAAACAAATAGATATTTTGAATACTACTAGAGCACCGAGACCAAAGCAAAGGAAAGAAATTAAGAAGTTAGGGAGCTGAACAGAAGATTTTAAAATGCAGTATGGGAAGAAAAAGCAAAGTATTACAACGAAATGTACAAAAGCTGGGGTCAAAAAAAATCAAAAGGGATTAACTTACACAGCATTTTTTAAGATGAAAGAACTGAATAACAAATCCAAGCCTCAAACTGCAAAACTTAAGGATGCTATGGGTAGAATCTTAAATGATACAGGAAGCATTAAAATATGATGGAAAGAGTATACATAGTCATTGTACCAAAAAAGAATTGGCTGACACTGAAGAATTTCATGAAACAACATATAATCAAGAGGTAATGGTGATGAAGAAGGAAGTGCAGTCTGCGCTGAAGGAAATGGGGGAAAAAAACACAACAAGGCCCCAGGAAATGATGGAATACTAACTGACATATTTCAGCAAACAAATGCTGCCCTGGATGTGCTCACCAGATTGTACCAAGAAATCTGGAGGACAACTATCTAGACAACTGACTAAAAGAAATCTAGATATATTCTTTTTAAAAAAAAATTATACTGATTTATTTATAAAGTTTTAATACATTGTTTTTCACAAAAGATTCTTCCCACTTCCTTCAACCCCCATACCCATCAAATTGTGCAATCCAATTATTAACACTCCACATTCCCCACACCCAACCTCACCTCTCTGCTTCCACCCCCCCCCAAACTTGGATCCTCATACTCATTCTACAATAATTGTTTTATACAGTATTTGTCCTTGTGGGACTGAGTTAGTCCAGTTCCCTCAAGTTAGGTAGTAATTCACAAAATCATTGTTCCTGCAAACTGCATAGTATTCCATTTTATCAATGTACCACAACTTCTCAATCCATTCAGTTGTGGTTGGACATCTGGGCTGTTTCCATGCTCTTGTGATGGTGAATAATGCTCCTATGAACATTGGTGTACAAGTTTCCATTTGAGCCTCAGTTCTCATTTTCCTGGGGTATATTCCAAGCAGGTTTGAGGGCTCAGGGCACTTCCGGTGTGGTGTTCTTTTGGCCCCACATGGGGGTCGGCAGAGCGGACTTGCCAGATCAACTGGGGGTCTGGGAGAAGGAGTTTGCCAGGATTTGGGTGTGCTGGGTTGGTAAGATACTGAAGGGCCCGAGGGCCACAGGCCCAAGGGCCAGTCTTTCATTGTTTTTGTTCAGACATTCATTTGGTCATATAGCCCTGGTGTACAAGTTGCTGTACAGCAGTACCTTGTAGTTGCCATGAGGCTGAACACTCTGACACTGATGTGTCAGATGCATTAATGGTTGGTTACCCAATGCGGACAGAGAGTGGGGTGGAGATCCCCAATTAAAACAAGCTTGGAAGGAGGAGTGGCATCCACTTCCGTAATAGCTTGCCTCTGGAAACCCTATGAACCTGGAGAGAGGATGAAAGACACCCAAGCATTGAGCACTCTCCTTATTAGGGTAGCTATAAGTCTCCTGCCACTTGACAGCACTTAACAACAACAACAACAACATCAACATATTCCAAGCAATGGAATAATAGCTGGGTCATATGGAATTTCTATGTTCAGTTTTTTGAGGAAGTGCCAAACTGCCTTCCAGAGTTGTTTTACCATTCTACAATTCCACCAACAATATGAGCGTTCCTATCTCACCCGATCCTCTCCAACATTTATTACTTGCTGTCCTATTAAACTACTAGAATGAGAGGACATCTCATTGTGGTTTTGATTTGTATCTCTCTTGCTGCCAGTGATCTTGAGCATTTCTTCATGTGTCTGTTGGCCATTTGAATATTTCCCTTTGTGGAAATTCTTTCCATGTCTTATGCCCATTTTGTATTTGGGTTATCAGTCTTTTTCTTGTGGAGGCCTAGGAGCATTCTATAAACTTTCATTATCAGACTCTTATCTGAGATGACATTGCCAAATGTTTGTTTCCTGTCAGTAGGTTTTCTTTACACCCTATTGAAAAAATTTTTATGAACTTTAGAAAGTCTCATTTATCAATTTTATCCTCTTCAGATTGTACATTTTTGGCAGTACTTGTCAGTTTCTTTATACCATAGACTATGGCTTCTAAGTTTGATCCCAGTTTGTCTCTTATGAACTCTATGGTTTTGGACTTTACTCCCAAGTCTCTTACCCACATTGAGGTGATTTTTATGTTTGGTGTGAGATGTGGGTCCTATTTCAGCTTTCTGCAAGTGGCAGTCCAGTTTTGACAGCACCATTTGTTGAAGAGGTTGTCATTTTCCCATTTGATGGCTTTAATTTCCTTATCAATTATCAGCTGACCATAGATAGCCGTGTCTTTTTCCAGGTTCTCAATTCTGTTCCATGGTCTATGTTCCTATCATTGTACAAGTACTAT